GACTCGATGTCAGCAGGACTCGATGTCAACAAGACTCGATGTCAGCAAGACTCGATGTCAACAGGACTCGATGTCAACAAGACTTGATGTCAGCAGGACTCGATGTCAACAAGACTCGATGTCAGCAGGACTCGATGTCAGCAGGACTCTATTTACTCTGGTAGGTCTTTACCGTACAGCAGTTCATAGATGACAAAGGACTCGACAACACCAGGACTCGATGTCAACAGGACTTGGAGACAGCAGGACTCGATGTCAACAGGACTTGGAGACAGCAGGACTCGACGACTCCTGGCTGTTTTCACCTAAATCCTTCAAAATATTATTTTTTTTCTAAAATATGAAGTTTATAAAAATAACTTTTAAATAACTAAGAGAACACAGGAAATTAATTTGAAAACCATCCTATGTACATTTATGAATTTATTAGTTTTTTTTATTTTAATGTTTAACTCATGCAAAGAACATTTTAAAGCAGAGCTGCATTTTAAAGACGTTATTTTACAAAATTTAGAAATTATTTAAATAAGTTATAAAAATAGAGTTGCTTATTTCCTGATGGCGATCTGCAGCTTTCTGTTTGCATTTATTTATTTTTGTTCCTCGTTTCTGTTGAAGATTATTAAACAAGTCCTTCATTTTTGTGACAAGTTACGTTTGTGTAGAGTAAGAACAATTATATACACTTAGTATATATATATATTAATATATATATATATATATATATATATATATATATATATATATATATATTAATATAACAGTTAGCGTAACAGTTAATTTGACCCTTTGTTGTTGTTTTTGTCTGTAAATTGATCCGATTCATGCAGGAAGTCTCTCCGGGCTCCTGTTTGTGTCTCCACAGCTGGTGAAGGGTCGACGTTCCTCAGCTTCCTGAAGGGGGACCTGATCATGTTGGACCAGGACCTCGGAGAGCAGGTTCTAACCTCTGGCTGGGCTCATGGCATCAACGAACGAACCAATCAGAGAGGAGATTTCCCAGCTGACTGCGTCTACGTCCTGCCCTCCATGACCCGACCTCAGCAGGAAATAGTTGTAAGTGGGGAAAATAAATAAATACACCTGTATGTTGCTTAAATTAACGCTACGAGCCGTGTCTTTACTTGCTACTTGTTTTCCTCATATTTTTTATTTTCAGGGGGGAAAAAAATCTACATTAATCTTAAGGTTCAAGTCAACAGTCATTTTTAGTTTTATGTTTTATACAAGTTCAAACTTTCTGCGCCAAAAACTCAACGGGCAACTAAAAATATGCATTTTTATGTCGGTGTGTACGATATTTGTGGTCAAACTTAAGTAAAAATGGATCACAGGCCAAACTGAAACTGAGGAAGCAAAAATAATTTGTTTTAATTTGATTATTCCTGCAGACGAAGCGATTAATTCAACTCAGGATGTTTTTAAATTTATTGTGAAGAAGACAAATGTTTTATTGGACATTAGTTCTCACTGCATCTTAATCACCTGCTGTGTTAGCAAAATATATCATGAGCCAGGGGACAGAGTTTCATGAAAGTGTCAGAAAGTAAATCTCAGCTGTGCAACTGATTAACCTTTGAACTCAACCACATTCAAGATGGCTGCCAGCTAATCAACTTTAGGCAGCACAGAAATGTCTACAACTCAGTAAATTTGTCTTTTTTTTAATTAAAATGTAATGTGGTAGTTGCTCCGAGCTTATCTGATCACTTTAACTGTTGGTGTCAACTCTGTTAACAAAGTATCTTAAGATCCAGTGGCCTTCAGGAGCAAGTCATTTAATGTGACGTTACACCTGAGTCACTTTTGGAGTCGACTCAAGTCAAGATGGCCGCCACAGTCAGCTGACCTCAGCCGACACAGTCATGGCTGTAACCCAGCCAGTTTCAGTGATGCTGAGCTACAGTTTGGTGTGGTAGTAGCTGAGAATCATTCCCAACTAAAATTCTGAACTCTTGAGAACTTTGCACCAAAATGTCTAAAACTCTGTAACTCCTGTAAACGATGAAATGTTTGATCGTATTGTACAGAAAAGATACACGGGCAGTGTTTGATTTACTTAAAAAACAAAGGAGGCGCTTGAGTCGTGATCTAATATTCAAAATGTTTCCTGTCGTTGTCTGCTGTGATCCGACCCGTCAGGCGATGGTTACCATGACGCCAGACCAGCGTCAGGAATCGGCTCGGGCCTCACAGATCATCCTGCCGGAGACGGAGGGTCGACTGAAACCGTACACACTGGAGGAGTTCTCCTACGACTACTTCAGGTGCACCAACAAAACCTGGACCTGTACGACGTAAACATTAACGTGCACACGCCCAAAGACACAAAACGTTTACCCAGACACGTCCAAACTCGCAACATTTACGCATCCAGAGTGTGAAAAGTTCATCCCAGATCCAAACGTGCCACGTTTCAAACTGCAGGACGTCCTTCAGCTGTTTGACCGTTAGTGTCACTTTACGTAACTGATTTATTTATCGTTACATTAAAAACTTGTTAATCTTTCAGAGCTATCAGCCTGAAATAAAATATCTGAGCTAAAGAACTTTTACAATTATTTCTTTAATAAAATATCTGATTTACAGGACTTTTAAAATATTAGCTTTTTTTTTTTAAATGGCCTTAAGTTTAAAAAAAAAAATCTCCATATTTTACTTTTTTTTTTAAGTATGAGAATTTAGGAAGAAAAAAAATGTATTTTCCCCCATTAGTTCACCCATGTAGTTTTTTAATTAAATTATTTTTAAATTCCAGTCTGGAGTTTTGAGAGGACCATCCAGAACCAGTATCTGAAGAGGACGACTTGTTTACGATCTTAGTTTTATCTGCGGCTCGTTGGGCAGGCATGTTTTTTATTTCTTTTTAGTTTTTCAGTTTTTCTATTGTTATTTTTTTGCATTTAAAACTACTTGTGGACCACACACGTTTCTGTTTTGCTTTTACTGGACCAGATATTTTGCTGAGTGGCTGCGGCGCTCTGACTCAGCAATTGATGCTGATTTCAGTCGAGTCAGCTGTTCGGAGTTGTGGACCCTCTGATCGCAGAACGGCTTTTAACTGGCACACGACAGTTTAACCACATTTCTTCTATTTTAGCCTCCCTGCACTGGCTGCCCGTACATTCTAGGATTCACTTTTTAACATTTTCGTTAGCTTTTAAAGCTCTTAATGGCGCTGCCCCGCCCTGCCCGTCAGAGCTGCTGCATCCGTGCACGCCCTGTGGATCCTTCAGGTCATGTGATCAGCTGCTCCTGAATGTGCCGAAGACGAAGCATAAGCTCAGAAGACCTAAGAGCTTAACGTTTTACGTTTTAGGTGTGGGATTTTAAAAAATGCATTTATAAGGGGATTTCCCTGTGGTTGGTTATCCCACTACACGATGCTACTGTGAGCATTTCAAACTATTTTTACAAAAAAAATAATAATAATAAAAATTAGAAGAATTTTTAGGCTTTGACAGAAAAAAAGTGTTTATTGACTGCATCAAAATAAATAAATAAAAACACAAACAAAATAAATAAGTGGCTGATTTTTACCTGCAAGACCTCTGAGGGTTAAATGGCACCAGATTCAACCTCTTAGTTTTAGTTTTGAAAGAACGTCTGAAACTGATTTATTTTTTATTTATTCTAACGTCACATGTTGATTGCTTGTTTTATGGTCACATGACTGAAGCTTTTTCCTTTTTTTAGACCTCCTCCCAAACACACTCTGAGCAGAGTGATGGTTGCAAAGAATCGTGGGAAAGACAAGCTGTGGAGCTGCACCAGAGAGCCGCTGAAGCTGCCGCTGCTGAAGAAGGTCGTGAACCACGAGGACCTGGCCCAGGAGGCCTGCATGGCCTTCATCGATATCCTTTAAACGCATCAAGGCTTCAGATGGGGGTGGGTCCACCACCGTCTGTGAAGACCCGTGTTCGTGCAGGGAGGTTTGTGGTGTTTGATTCCTTGACGTTGATCCCACCCATTATGAAGTACATGGGTGACTACCCGTCCAGACGGACCCGCTCCGTTAACGAGCTGACGGACCAGATCTTTGAAGGAGCTCTTAAGGCCGAACCCCTGAAGGACGAGATCTTCTGTCAGATCATCAAACAGCTCACCGACAACCACGTCAAGTGTGTGGACTCACCTTAAATCACTTAATGTGGGCTGTTAGAAAACCGTCCTCAGTGGCTGCAGGCAGAACTTTGTCCGGCTCGTATCTGTGGTCCAGTTCTGAAGACGACTTGCGTTCTGCTGCAGGTACAGTGAAGAGAAGGGCTGGGAGCTGCTGTGGTTGAGCACCGGTCTGTTTCCTCCCAGCAACTTGCTGCTGCCGCACATCCAGCGCTTCCTGCAGTCCAAGAAACACCACCCGCTGTCTGCAGACTGCATGCAGAGGCTGCACAAAGCTCTACGGTAAAACGCACGCACATCCCTTTTTACGCTGGACTGGTTTAAACCTGGTGAGAAACAGAAGCACTTTTTAAAACCCAGGAAGAAAACTCAATCAAGAAGTAAACAAAGTTAAAAAAAAAACACTGACATTTAAACAAGACGGTTTCTGAAAAGGTCACAAAGTGGACAGGACATGAAACGTAGGCAGCGTGCACAAAAACAAAGTGTAAAGCAGAATACAGGCGGGGGGGTGGTCTGTGCAGACCAGTTTAAAAGCTGTTTACAATAGTTTGGAGAAGTTTGAGTTTCAGGAACGTTGAGGAGGTTTTTGTTGTGTAGTGTTGGTCCTGAACAGGCGGAGAGCAGTTTCTAATACGACCGGACGCTTCGTGTTTTTGTCCGAGCTCCAAACTGAACATCAAGTGTCAACCTGCACAGCTGGACCCCTCGCTGGTCGAGAGGATGAGACTGGAACATGAGGATGAAACTGTTCGACAAACGATTAGCTTTATAAAGTACCGAAGCAGCGCCCTCTGCTGGTCCGATCCTTGTTTTTAGAGCTCCATGTTCAGACACAGGTGCACTTGTTTTGTAAATAAACAAGCCTCACGTCGGCCATCTTTGTAGGTTCTAAATTCAACTTGTGTGAAATAAAACGTGAAACTTTGAACGCTGAGGGTGAACCACATTCAGAAGTTTTGTTAAGGTGTTTTATATTTCATATTTTTATATTTTCATAGACGTTTGTTTATTGATGGGAAAAATAAAATCTTTCTTTTCTTTTCTTTACCCAGTGAGTTATAATCCCACAGACATGGTCAGTAATTTGAGCCAAACTTTGTTTTTGGGTTCAAACAGAAACGGGTCCAGAAAATATCCGCCTCACCTGGTGGAGGTGGAGGCCATCCAACATAAAACCACCCAGATCTTCCACAAGGTTTACTTCCCCGACGACACAGACGAGGTCCAACACTCGAGCTCGGTTTTTTCTCTCATCAGCAGTAAAAAAAAAAAAAAACGATTTAAAAGTCTTGAACGTTTTGCTCGAACCTGCAGGCGTTCGAGGTGGAGTCCAGCACGAAGGCAAAGGATTTCTGTCAGAACATTTCCAGCAGACTGCTGCTCAAATCTCCTGAAGGCTTCAGCCTGTTTGTGAAGATCTCAGACAAGGTCAGAGGTCATCAGGGGTCATCAGGGGTCAGATTAGGAGGTCTAATCCGGGTTTTCACCATCTGGGTTTGCTGTCTGCAGGCGATCAGCGTGCCTGAAGGAGACTTCTTCTTCGACTTCGTCCGACATCTGACCGACTGGATCAAGAAGTCTCGCCCGGCTAAAGACGGTCGGTTTGAAACCAGAATTTACCGTGCTGCGTTCAGGGTCGCTCGTTGTTTCAGGACAAGACTCAGGATCTGATGAGGGGCGGGGCTTCACGAAACATCTGATGGAACCTGAGATTTATTTAAAAATAATTTTACCCTCATTTATTCACAAGTTAAATAAAACGTAAATAGTTCAACACATCAGTTTCCTGTTCTTCAGATATGGATTTAAATCTAGTTTACTTTTAGTGTTTATTAGTTGAATTTTGTTCATTTTCACCCGCTGCCTTGGAACAACCGGCATTTAACATGTCTGTTAGCAAAATATCTGCTGAAGCACAAAATCAGATGAGCATTAACAGTTGGAATCAACCCCATTCAAGATGGCTGCCACAGCTAACTGACCTTAGCTAACACAAAGATGGCCGCAGTTCAGCCACTTTGACAGCTCTGAGGTTGAAATGTGGCGTGGCGGTAGCTGAGAGTCATCCCCAACACGTCCTCTGAGCACCAGCTGATCTGTTGAACACGCTGTCAGGCAGGACGGGGGAAGACAAGCATGAACCACCAAACACCCTGAGATGCAGAAAAATTAATAAGTTGGTTTACTTTGAATTTGACCTCAATAAAATAATAAAATTACAGATGTGGCAGCGCAGCCGTGTTTATAAAGCTGCGTTAGTCCTTTTGAAGTGAATCGACGTATTCAAGAGACAAACCGTCTTTTGTCAGTTCTGGTTTAAATAAAGTTGAATTTATTTTGAACCAAACCTGCAGGGATGCTGCCGTCTCTGACATATCAGGTGTTCTTCATGAAGAAGTTGTGGACCAGCACCGTTCCGGGGAAGGATTCCTTCGCTGACTCCATTTTTCACTACTACCAGGTCAGAGAAACTTTATTTTGTAAACATTATTTATATTTTTATTCACATAACCAGAGAACCGTTTGTTTGTTTCCAGGAGCTTCCTAAATATTTGCGTGGCTACCACAAATGTTCACGAGAGGAGGTCTTCCAGCTCGGAGCGCTCATTTATCGCGTCAAGTTTGAGGACGACAAATCGCACTTTCCTACAATTCCCAAGATGCTTCGGGAGCTGGTTCCCCAGGACCTCATCCGGCAGATGTCCCCAGATGACTGGAAGAGAGTAAACATTCAGCAGACGAGTCTTGGGCTCTGAAATGATTCAAATCCTCGCTCTGGTTCAAACTGTTCAACATCGGTTGACTTCCTACGTTCTGTGTCTGATTACAGTCTATAGTTGCGTACTTCAATAAACACCCCGGAAAATCACGGGAGGAGGCCAAACTCCTGTTCCTGAAGGTCATCTACAAATGGCCGACGTTTGGCTCCGCCTTCTTTGAGGTTAAGGTAAACACACCTGAGGTTATGGCCTCCTGCAGCTCTCTGGTTCATTCAGTTGATTCCGTTCACCTTTATCTGGTAGTAAAAACACAAACGGTCAAATCCAGTGGTTCCTAACCCTGGTCCCTGAGGAACACCACCCCGCATGTTTTAGCTGTTTCCCTGCTTCGACACACCTGATTCAATGATTTAATTACTTCAAGTTCTGCCAAAGCCTGTTAATCTCCGAATCATTCAAATCAAGTGTGTCGAAGCAGGAAACAGCTAAAACGTGCAGGATGGTGTTCCTCAGGGACCAGAGTTTGGAACCACTGATTTAGACTTTGTCACAAAGTGTTTTTTAATTTTTCTTTAGCAAACCACAGAACCGAACTACCCGGAGATCCTGCTGATCGCCATCAACAAACATGGAGTCAGTCTGATCGACCCGAAGACGAAGGTTTGTTTTACAGACGAAGCGTTCAGGGTCCTCCTTCCTGCAGCCGTGCTGTGTTCATGAACCCATCAGCAGGTGCGGTTAATCGTTGTTTTCTGTTTCCAGGACATCCTGACCACCCACCCCTTCACCAAGATCTCTAACTGGAGCAGCGGGAACACCTACTTCCACATCACCATTGGCAATCTGGTGAAAGGGAGCAAGCTGCTGTGTGAAACGTCCCTGGTGAGCGCCGGTTCTGATCCGATGAACATCGGATCATTTCATCGGATTCTAAAACTGAAAAAAAATCAAAGTAACTTTAGAGAAATGAAAGTTTGAGTCAGCTGACGGAGCCGATGTGTTGAAACCTGCAGGGCTACAAGATGGACGACCTCCTGACCTCCTACATCAGTCAGATGCTGACCAGCATGAACCGCCAGCGAAGTGGGCGGGGCCAGGGAAAGTGATCTTACTGGCAGGAGGCCGTCGAGCTCATCCGCCTCCTGGGTCCCATTGGTCAGTACTGCAGCTGGGGGCGGAGCTTCTCCCACCAGCTGTGGAGGATGAGCCGCAGTCCCTCTGCTAGTTCGGCGGGATCGAGCCTCACCGGGGGGAGCTCGTCGGCGAGCGGCGGCGGCGACGACCCCGGCGAAGGTCCCAGTAACCGTTTCCTCTACAGCTACGAGGACGACGAGCCGTCCAGTGAGGACGACTACCTCTGACCCGTCCCAGCTGTCCCTCCTTCTGCCCCGCCTTCCAACGTACGGTTTGTCCAAACTGGAGTCCCTCAGCTCCGACACTTACCGGTTCATCCATTTTCTTTAGAAGATCCAGACAGGAAACACCGACAACCCTCCTGCTGCCCTGGGGTCAAAATCACATCCGATGCTTCAGTTGTAAAACCGAGGCCTCAGAGGTCATTTTGACCCCAGGGCAGCAGGAGGGTTGAGCTACTGAACTGATAAAAACCTGGTGGAACAGGATCTGAATAAACCAACAGAACCTCAGACCCAGTTCTGAAGCTTTTGGACCCAGAGTAAAGATCCAAGAAGTGGTTCCTCTAAAGAAGCCTGAAGAAAAATAAAACAGTTATTGATCAATTTAAATGTGGATTTCCTTCCTGCTTTGCATAAAATCTGGACATTTTATTAACAAGTATTAACTGAAAAATACAGAAATAAGTTTTTTATTCAACTTAACTAAATTAATTTGTAATTACTCTTTTTTTATTCATCTTCCACGATGAAGAAACGGTTAAAACATGAATTAAATAAATCCCAGTGAAGGTTTGGTTCTTGTGGGTTTTTGACCTGTGATATTTTTTTTCTTTGGAGTTATTTTAATCTTTAAAAGATTTATTGTTCTGACAGAAAATAAGATCAGAAATATTGTTTTTAGAAGTGAATTTATAAAACGTTTTATGACCCAAATTAAAAGAATTTGAACATTTTTCTTCTCATTCTGTTTAAGATCATTAACGGATGTTTGACTTATGTCACGTCTCTAATTATTAGTTTTTTTTTTAACTTTATGCTGTTTAGTGATGTCAGAAGTTTGTCTGTAGAGACTTCATTACCCAGAATGCTTTGAGAAGCAGCTACTTTTCCTAAAACTAACCTCAAAAAGTTATATTTTTATTCTGTTTACTGTCTTTAACTAAATTAACAAAAGGTTTTAGAAAACTTCCTGCAGATGAAAAACTGACGTCAGTCCAGAACCAGAGGGGAAGTGGTTCTGGACTTGGTCCCGTTTATCGTCAGCTGATAATTCTGTTTTTTGTTGTTTCAGGTAGTTTTGTCTCCACGGCAACAGCTTCATCAGAACCCAGAGCGTACACAGATTATTAACCCTCCTGCTGCCCTGGGGTCAAAACAACCCTGAGACGTCCAGTTTAAGGTCTTGGGGGTCGTTTTAACCCCAGGGCAGCAGGAGGGTTGAATCATCTGACCATGAATGATTGTTGTGGCTTTAACGTCGTCTAAACTTTGGTCTTTTTGATTAAATGTAGGTTGTTGTTGTTGTTTCATGTTTGGCTCTTTCACCTGAACTGAACGTTTGAATTGTGCCAATTTATTCCCTTTGTTTTGTCAATTAAAGTAAACTTGTTTTTTCGTCTCCTCTGTTTAAAAAGTTGTTTTTGTTTCTTGTTCTGTCAGTCAGCTGACACTTTCTTTTTTTGTACAACACATTAAATAAAGTTCCCGTGATTTGACACAACGATATTTCAATGTGAAAGATTTGTCGTTTTATTCATTTGGTCAACATGAACTTTAAACTATTTTCACTCTAAACATTGAATCATTTCAATCAATAAAAACAGACAAAATGTTTCTGCAACAGTTTTTTATCGGATGAAAGTCTTTAGATTCAGAAAATAAACAGTAAAGAAATGAAAAACTAACAGTTTAAAAATAAAAATGGCGTTTTGGTAAAACACAAAGAAAAACCTCAACTGAGCTCTGAATAAACAGAATATATATATATATATGTATATATATATGTATATATATATATGTATATATATATATATATATACATATATATATGTATATATATGTATATATATGTATATATATATATATATATATATATATATACATATGTGTGTGTGTGTGTACGACTGATTTCCAGCTCATTATTCCAGAACAACCGTTTCTAATCCAGACGTTTGATTTTAGGAAACTGAAGAACTTCAGGTGGAGTTCGTTTATGAGTCGGTTCACGGCTGAAAACCTCAAAGTTCTGTCGTTTGTTGTGGGAACCTTCAGGTTGCGACGCGAACGAGTTGTAGCTGAAAGTCTAAGAGTCTTGGAGTCCGGTCGAGCCGACGTTTTATTTTTATTTAAGGTTTAGCTTCGACGAGAGCTCACTGAAGTCTTCAAACGCTAAAAAAAATTAACAGAGAAACTGGACTATTGTTTTTATAAAAAAATATTTCTGTAGTTTGATTTTAACATTTGATATATGATTTGATTTATAAAAAATATTTATGTAAATTAAAACAGAATTGTGAGTGAATATAAAGTCTGAGAACTTGGTGCACTTTTTGTGTCTCCAGACGTTTAGATTAAATTAGGTCTGATTCTTGTTGCACGTTTCCTGGGGCCTCATGTACAAAGACATGCGTGGATTTCCTTCTGAAACATGGCGCACGCTTAAATTGAGACAACAGCGTGCACACAAATAAATCCAGATGTATGAGACGGTGTGTACTAGAGCCCGACCGATATTGAAATTTGTCTATCACCGATACCGGGAGGGGAACATGAATGCTGATAACCAATAAACTGGCTGAAGATGTTTGATCTTTGTCCACCCCCAAGAATCTCAGTAAACGGCTACTTTTAAACCTGTTTTAACACTTGGAGTCTTGAAACAGTCTTCCTAACGTGCGTTCACATTTTCTTTCCTCCACTATTCACCGTAAAGTTATCAAGTGAGTTACGAAAATATAAATTCAACAAAGAAACCCCCTTCCCTGTCATGTATGGTGAAGGTCTGATTAGTTTTGACCGCAGCAGCGTTTAATTTTTTCCTTCGCAAAGAAGTAAATATTTCAAACAATACATTTCATTGAGGACGACAAAGATAACGTTACTAATATATATGATGTATTTTACCTCTACATTAGATTTATTGTTCTGGATAAAGTTTTATGAGGCAATAGTCTACGCTAGGTTATCTAAACGTTAGCTTGCTAACTTGAGAGGCATGTAGCGAATGACGAACAGGTCGGAGGATTGAAGAGAAATTATTATCGTTTTATTTTACAGATCAGTTTAAATAAACTTACCATGCTCTGTTCAGCAAAACACACTACACAGTATTGTTCCCTGCTTCATCTGTGCTGAAGCTGAAAGTGAAACTTAAAGTGAATGGTCATGACTTGAAAGTTGTCTTCACGCGCCCTCTGCTGGATACATTGTTGCTGATTCCAGCATTTTAGGGTGAAAATTAGAAATGTTTACATCGTGGCATAATGGGTCAATTATCACCGATACCTATAGGTTCCCCAAATGGCTATATCGGCCCTACGATATATATCGGTCGGTCTCTAGTGCGTACATATGAATCCAAGCATACTTGGTTTCTGCATCCCAATCAACGTGGAATTGAGCGCACGTGAGGGAATACTCGACACGCCTCCATTTAAATACGCAAATAGATTTAAATCTGCCTTGTACTTGAGGAATCTCCTCTCTGCACTACCTTAAAGCATGTCTACACGCAGGAAAAGAAGGAACCTCGTGGAATGTGAGTTGCAGATGTTTCTAAACGAGGTAGAGGCTCATAAAAACCTTCTGTTTGGCACGTTGTCCTCTGGCATCAGCTCCAAGAGGAGTGAGTGGGACAATGTGAGCAAATGCTGTGGGGTCAGAGCAAAACACCCACAGAAATTAAGAAAAAATGGTCAGACACATTAGGACGATTAAATTAATTTACTCCACAAGAAGTTACCCATCCCGCACCGTGCCAGTTTGTAGTCTGTTCCCAACCATGTTGGTCATCAGAATGACTGAATCGTGGTTGGACCAGGCCACCTCGACACAACGTTGGTTAGTTGCTCATTGATTGAATGAAAATACTTCCTGTTAACCTAAACATATTCATCCTGCATGATGCTTTTATGGCAATGAGTGTGGTCTATAGCTCCGATTACATTAGGAAAACCAGCTGTCACTACAAATTGTTGTGTTTGATGTTCCTGGCTGACATACGGATAATCCCATCCCCCACAGCTGGCATGGCTCAGCTCCCACAGCTGGTATGGCTCAGCTCAGGGTGGACTGGCACAGTCCCGATGGGTCTGCCAGCTCCCTCTGGAATGACCCTGTTGCTAAAAATCCCTGTGTGGTCAGCAGCTGTCTGTGCATGAGCAGTGCACGGCTCCAAGCACTGGCCTTGGAAGCCTAAAACGGCTGCTGAGCCAGTCGCCATCTTGGGACAGAAAATCCTGTGCGTCTAAAAACTCTGCGTGTTGCTGCATTTCTTTTATCCTCCGAGACTAAAGCCGTTGTTGTTGTTAAAGGTGCTTTCTGCACCACTTCATGCAGCTTATATAGCCACTCATCTAATTTTATACACGTGTACTAATTGTTCATCGTGTGAACATCATTAACAATTTCCCAGTATCACCTCTAAGTGTCACCAATGGACCAGTGACCACAGAAACGTGCACGCCTCTTGTGGCTCAGTGAGAACAAATCTGCCGACAAGCATGAAGTCGTCGGTCTTTTCTAGAATAACTTTATTCCCGATGTTTTGTTTTCGCCCAGCCTTCAGTTTATTTTGGTTATAATTAAATGTAAATGTCTTTCACATTATTTTTTCTATTATCAGGACTTTTGTAGGATTGTTCTTGATTTGTGTCGCCGACTGGACCAGAACTCTCTGGAAGAAGAGCTGATTTATCTCAACAGGACCTTCCTGCTGAACTCAGGAGAATTCATCTTCAGTGGTGAGATGTTTTCCTGCTGCAAACATTCAACTCTTGTTACTTAGAACAAGAGAAGAATAAATAAAAACTGGAGCCAAGCTGGTGGAGAAGGGTCTCGACGAGGAACACATCTGGACACACCAGAGGAAACACGACGCTGCAACAAGGTTTGGATATTTATCGCTCAGAGACGCAAAAAGTGCTTCAGGTTCTGGCAGAGAAACTACTTAAACGCCTTTTGAAAATTCAGCTGATATTCAGCTGATATTCAGCTGATTACTGCAGGGAGTGGTGGCACAGAGGTTGGATAAAGCGAGCCTGTGATCGGAGTCACTGGTTCGAATCCCGTTACATAAAAGCTTGGGTGGGAAAGCACCCACACCTGCCTCCACCTTCATTTGCCCTGGGCCCTTGAGCAAGACCCTTCAACCCCGCCCCTTCTTTTTTCATTCAACCTTTATTGATACAGATAAATCACATTAAGCCTCCAAGACTCATTTACAAGTGAGACCTGTTAACAAGATCAGGCCTCTGCTCCACACGTGGGCTGTGGCAGCTCGGTGGAAGTGCAGGTTTGTTCGTTAAGCCGACCCCTTAAGAGCGGCTGAAAGACAAAAAAAACTAAACAGTTATTAGACTGGACGTCTGCGGCCCAGCTGAACCAAAGTACAATGAAGGTTGATAACGTTGAAAACCTAGTAAAGAAACTGAAAGTTAAACTGGGTTTCTTTTTCAGAAACAGATCCTGTCTAACTCTGAATGTAAGGAAACACCTTGTATCTGTGACTTTCCTTCACTCCATTGATTACGATGACATTATTTACATGAACGCTCCTACAAGAACCCTGCAGATGTTGGATGCTGTCTATCATGGTGCACTAAGATTCATAACTGGCTGTGATTATCGTACCCACCACTGCACCCAGTACTCACTGGTTAACTGGACATCATTAACTTCACACAGACTCTCTCACTGGTACATTTTCATCTTTAAATCACTTCTTGGTCTGTTGCCTTCATACAGCTCCTCCTACATGTCTCTGCGTGAGTGCAGCTACGGAGTGCGCTCTCAGGACATTATTACCTGCAGTGTTCCCTCAATGAGGACTGAACTAGGCAAAAGGTCCTTCTCCTACTCCGCTCCTGTTTCCTGGAATATCTTACAAAAAGACCTGAAGCTCTCGACCTTGACCTCTAAGTGGCTTCAAACATCTGAAAAGTTCCTGGGAAAAATCAGTGTAGACGTGTTCTAGTTTTCGTTTTCTACAAAAAAAAAAAAAAAAAAAATCATCTTTACGTTGTAGCTATTTTGTTTCATTTTTTAAATGATTTTATTTCATTTATTTTATATGCTTTCTTTTATGATTGTTTGCTGTTGTCATCATTCTTTGTTAAATCAGGTCTCTCTTGTAAATGAATCCTGGAGGCTCAATGAGACTAACCTGTATAAATAAAGGTTGAATGAATGAATAAACTGCGCAGACGTCTCAGAAAGCACATTTAGGTGTCAAGTCACCTCCGGCCCTTCGCACACATCCTGTGGCGTGTTGAGGCGGAGCAATACGAGGCGATGCATCGCAGGCCGTTATAGTTCAAGAACCACAAATTCATGCGTGTCCAAGAACAACCCATGACGCCAGCGTCACAGAACCAGCAGTGACAGCGCCGTACTTGTCACCTCCCACTTCATGCTTACTCACCAACTCAGCCCTGTGACTACCTCCAACGTCAACAAAGCTGCAACGGATCAGCTTTGACCTCCCACGGTGCCTCGGCTGTTTCTCATGGAGCACCGAGGTGAGAAAAAGGCGCCTGGGTGTCGAATGTACGGATCTTTTCCAACAAAATCGAGATAAACGTTCAGCGAAGAAACTATGACAAACGAGCGAAGGCAGGGTTCCTTCGTGTATGAGCTGTAAACATCACGTGTGTCTGATTTCATAAATGTGTTGCCTTTGGGTAGTCACTCTATTCGCTTTAGTTGAAGTTTTCTGGCTTTAGCTTTAATAAAATATCGTGCAGGTCGGCATGCATGTGGAAATAGTCTGAGGTCAAAGATCTGCTGGGATGTAAAAACGTTGAGTTTCAGATAAAGAAGATCAAATGTGCCGTCCACCTCTCTGCTCTTCATCTGAATATTCATTTTGTCAACAAAAAAATCTTTTTTGTTTCATGTTTTGTGGCGAATCGTAAAAAGTCCTCGTGTTTCCAGAGAGCAGGGGTCGGTTCCCACGAGACTGAAGACAGCGAGCTGGAGAAGCTGCTGCGAAACGTCCGCGTCAGCGAAATAACCGGTGCCTACGGCGCGACGCCAAGAAAAAGCTTCTAGAAAGCAAAAGTTGGAAAAATCCAACACATGCGAGGCTCAAAATGCAAAGCATCTCCGCAGGAAACACCAATGCAGCGCCGCATTGACACCCGACCCGCTCGCTAAAAATGAACGGCCTTACGGTGAAAAACATCATATTCAATAGAATAAATACGTCTGAGCAGGCAGAAGTGGAGCTCAAACGCTTAGCCTACCTAAAAGATCAGCTATTCTCAACAGGAACACAAATATAGAACAGCTAAATGCTAACCACGACTTCAGACGACGTTACGTAACGTTAGCTAGGCTGCAATAGCAAAGAAGAGATTATTAACTTAATTTCTAGATCTAGATCCAAACTCTGCTCCTCAAAGTTCCCACGCTGGTTTAAAAATATTACAGAAACTTCTGACGGCAGACAAATACTTCCCACCTACAGATTTGTTCGAGCGTGTCCTCAGAGTTTAAAACGAGAGCCGAAGAGTAAAACTGTAAGAGGAACCTCCACTGTTCCGTTCTTCTGGTACATTTGTGAATGAATGGACTTAGATCCTCTGTAGATGTTTTTAATGGCACTTACTGCAGCTTTGTCTCCAGAAATCTGGCAATTTGTCTTAGTTTCAGGTTGAGGTTAAAACCGGGACAACAGAGCACCAACTGAATGCTTCCAGGAAGTAGTCTGTGCCTCGATTTAAATAAAAAGGATGTTTTTGTTTTAAATAGGATCTGGTTTCTCTTAATCTCAGAGCAGCTGCTGCTCAAATTGGCACGATTTTACAATAGAAACTAAACGCCCCCCCCCCCCCCCCCATCCTAAAGAACCCTGGTGCTCCCGAGCAGCACTGAAGGATACATTCAGTTCAGGACAAACAGAAACACAAAATCCTGTCGGGTTTACATTCGTTCTGTCTGAAACGCTCACAAACACAGAGAGCAGCTTAAAGGAGACCGCTGACCTTTCTGGGCACAAACAAACAAACAAATAAACAAATAAAACTAATAAAGACTCTTTCGTAAACTGGCACGTTATGCCGACATTCAGTCAACCTGCAGAACTCGAAGCCCGTCAGCTTCAATAATCTCCCCGTTCATCTTCATACCAACTTTTATCTGCTGAAATAAAAATATTAACAATATGAACATCTGATTATTAAAACTACTTCTTATAACTTTTTT